CCTGATTCCTGTTCATCTTTCACTTGTCAGCTCAGGAGTCAGTGCCTCAGCGACGCCTTGGCTGAGCTCCCTGGCTAGGTCAAATTTTCTTCTATAGGCTTTTAGCTTTTCTTCTATAGGCTTTTATAATTCTCTTTCTATCACTTCTCATATTTGTCTGTGTGTTGATGTATTTAATGTCAGTTTTCTGCTACTAGACTGTAAACTTCATGAAGATAAGGATTCAGTTAGAATTCGTTCACTATTTCTAGTAGAAGGAACAGGGCCTAACACATAGTAAATACTGAGTTAATGGGTTATTTCCCCAGTGATTGCCTTTTTAAAGAAAACAGTTTTATAAATCTGATTTCTAGAAAATCAGTTCTGTAAACCAGCATTAATCAGGCTTATCATATAGCTTTTTATATTTTGAAGTATTTTTTGTGAGGATTTTTATTAATGTTTCTTAATGATGTACCATGTTTAAATTTTTGAAGTAAGCCTTCATCATGTTGTGGTATAATGTAACATATTCTGCTTTCTCTTTGCTAGGATTTTAAGATTTTGCAGTTAAAGTTATTTTCTTTTGTGTGTGTGCTTTGTCAGATTTTGACATCAGTGTTACACTAGTATTTTCGTGGCTTATTTTATTCCATTCTTTTATTTTCAACTTTTCTGTATCCTTAAGCTTAAAAATGTCTCTTTTAAATAGTACATAATTGAGGTTCTTTAATTATGTTTTATAATTTTTGTATTTTAATTGGAGCATTTAGTTTGTTTGATATAGTTAGTATACCTTTGCCTTCTATTTTCCTCAAAGATTTGAATAAGACAAAAGGCCGACCTCCCAAGCAAGAAGGAATTCTCTGGCAGTCTGCCTTTGGACTTGAATTGCAACCCCTTCCTCAATCTCCAGCTGCCAGTCTCTTCTATTATGAGTCAGTTCCTTAAAATAGATCTGTATGATATGTATTTAATATAATTAATATATAATATGGCTACTACCTAGTAGAATTAATATATACTTAATATGACATATATTGCAATAGTATCTTCATATCTGGTGGAGGGATTATGTTTCAAGACCCCCAGTTGATGCCCGAAACCACATATATATATTTCCCTATACATACATAGCTGTGATAAAGTTTATAAATTAGGCACAGTAAAAAATTAACAATAATAACTAATAATAAAGTACAATAATTATAATAATATACCAGCATGTTCCTTTTTCTCTTTTTTCTTGCATTTTGGATTGATAGACTTTTTTACTATTCTGGCTTTTTCCTCTCTTGTCAAGTTGTAGACCCTGTTCTTTTAGTAGTTAACCTACCGATTATAACACATAGCTTACATGTATCACATTAATTGGTACATTAGTACATTTATTCTTCTTAGACAATACAAAGATCTTGGAACACTTTTAACTTCTTTTATCAGTTCCACTTATATATTAATACATGTGTTCTAATCATGTGTTTTAAAATCCATAAGACATTAATATTTTATATGGTTACTATTCATTTAGATCTATCTACATATTACCACTTCCATTTTTCATCACTGCTTTTTAACCTTTTTAAGATTTACTTTCTGTTTGAAGAACATACTTTAATAAGTTCTTAGTATAGTTTTTGCTGGTAATGAATTCCCTTGAGTTTTCTTGGTCTGAAGGTTTTTAGGGGCTGGGTGTGGTGGTTTGTGCCTGTAATCCCAGCACTTTGGGAGGCAGAGGCTGGTGGGTCACCTGAGGTCAGGGGTTCAAGACCAGCCTGGCCAGCATAGCGAAACCCTATCTCTACTAAATATAGGCAAGTTAGCCAGGCATGGTTGTAAGCGCCTGTATTGCCAGCTACCTGGGAGGCTGAGGCAAGAGAATTGCTTGAACCCAGGAGATGGAGGTTGCATGAAACGAGATCTTGCCACTGCACTCCAGCCTGGGCAACAGAGTAAGATTCATCTCAAAAAAAAAAAAAATTTTAACCCTTTAGGTTCTTAAAAGATAATTTTACTGGATATAGTAATATTTTTTGGTGGCAAATTTTTTTTTGCCCTTTGAAAATACTAATTTCTTTGTCTTCTAGTTATTGTCTTTATTAGTTAGGGTTCTCCAGAGAAACAGAATCAATAGGTTTTAAGTGTGTTTTATTTTATTTTACCTTTTTCTGTTTCTGTCACTTAGGATATGATTAAGTTACTTATTTTACTTTTAAAAAATTTTTGTTTTACCTTTTAGAGACAGGGTCTTGCCTTGTCATTCACACTGGAATATAGTGGTGTGATCATAGCCCATTACAGTCTCAAACACTTGGGCGTAAGCAATACTCCTGTCTCAGCCTTCCAAGTTGCTGAGACTACAGGTATGCACCACTGCACCTGGCTTATTTTATATATATATACTTTTATATTTATATAATATTTTATATTATGTATTTTTAAAATTTATTTTTATTTATTTGTTTTTTTGAGACGGAGTTTCACTCTGTTGCCCAGGCTGGAGTGCAATGGTGCGATCTTGGCTCACTGCAACCTCCGCCTCCCAGGTTCAAACTATTCCCCTGCCTCAGCCTCCAGAGAGTTGGGACTACAGGCATATGCCACCACGCCTGGATTTTTTTTTTTTGCATTTTTAGTAGAGGCGGGGTTTCATCATGTTGACCACGCTGGTCTTGATCTCCTGACCTCATGATCTGCCCACCTCAGCTTCCCAGAGTGCTGGGATTACAGGCGTGAGCCACCAAGCCTGGCCTATATTATATTTTATATATATTTTATATTATTTTTAAAATATATTTTACATTATATATTTAGATATTTTTTTTTTTTTTTGAGACGGAGTTTTGCTCTTGTTACCGAGGCTGGAGTGCAATGGCGCAATCTCGGCTCACTGCAACCTCCGCCTCCTGGGTTCAAGCAGTTCTCCTGCCTCAGCCTCCTGAGTAGCTGGGATTACAGGCATGCGCCACCATGCCCAGCTAATTTTTTGTATTTTTAGTAGAGATGGGGTTTCACCATGTTGACCAGGATGGTCTCGATCTCTTGACCTCGTGATCCACCCGCCTCGGCCTCCCAATTTACATATTCTTATCTATAGTTTCATTCTTTCCTTATCTGCAGTTTCAACTACCCACAGCTAACTACAGTCTGAAAATATTAAATGGAAAATTTAGCAATAAACAATCCTTAAGTTTCTTGTACCATTCTAAGTAGCATGATGAAACCTTGTACCTGTCCTTCTCCATCCAGCCCAGGACATGACTTATTCCTCTGTGTGATGTATCCATGCTCTAGACACTATCCCTCCGTTGGTCACTTAGCCATCTAGGTTATCAGATCAACTGTAGCACTACTGCAATGCTTGTGTTCAAGTAACCTTTATTTTACTTAATAATGGCCCAAAGTGCAAGAGTAGTGGTGGCATATTGTTACAGTTGTTCTATTTTATTGTTGGTTGTTGTTGTTAATCTCTTACCGTGCCTAATTTCTAAATTAAATTTTACCATAGGTATGTATATATAGGAAAGAAATATAGCTTGTATGGGGTTCAGTACCATCTGTGGTTTCAGGCATCTACTGAGGGTACTGAAATTATATTAAATATATACTAATTACATTAAATATTATATATTATATAGATTTATTTTAAGGAATTGACTCACAGTGGGGTAGGGTAGCAGCCTGGAGACTCAGAAAGGAACTGCAGTTCAAGTTCAAGGGTAGTCTGCTGGAGAATTCCCTCTTGTATGGGGGAGGTCAGCCTTTTGAGCTATTCAGATCTTCAGTTGTATGGATGAAGCCCACCTACATTATGGAGGGCAATCTGCTGTATTCAGAGTCCATTGATTTAAATGTAAATCTCATCCAAAACACCCCTCACAGATATATCCAGAATAACCTTTACCCAAATAATCTGGACACTGTGGCCCAACGAAATTAACAATCGCAAGTCTACCCTTTGTCAACTTGGCACTCATACACATCTCCTTAAACCATTATTAATCTCCAAATAAAGACAATAACAAAGTCATACTTATGCTTAACATGAAACAACTATCTTGCATGTAGCCAAACACACACTAGTCCTTTCTCTAGAAGAGGATGCAAATTACTTGGTTGTTGTTTACTCTTCTTGATAGCCTAGAACTTAAATTCTGAAGTTTAAGAAAAAGTTAATAATACTTAAGTATTATGATCAGCTGTTGATCTAATTGTTTTCTTTGTTGAAAATATTTTTGTATTCATTTCCTATTGCTGCATAGCAAAACATTCCCAAATTTAATATTTTAAGGTAACAACCATGTAAAATAGGCTCACAATTCTGTGAATATCAATAAGTACTAGGTAGCTGTTTGGTTCCTTTGCTGGTCTTTTTTTAGACAGGTTCTCATGCTGTCATCCAAGCTGGAGTGCAGTGGCACAATCTCGGCTTACTGCAACCTTTGCCTCCCAGGCTCAAGCAATTCTCTTGTCTCAGCCTCCTGAGTAGCTGGGATTGCAGGTGCATACCACCACCACCCAGCTAATTTTTTTATTTTTAAATAAAAAATTGGCTCACTTCGTTACATTAAGAGAGAGGCCCAATCAATAAGTGACACCAACTGCCAAACATGTGCTTGAGACAATCTCAGTCCCAGGTGAACCATAAGATGATTACAGATGCATGAATAACTCCAATCAAGACCAGTAGAGGGTCGAGCATGGTGGCTCATGCCTGTAATCCCAGCACTTTGGGAGGCTGAGGCAGGTGGATCACAAGGTCAGGAGTTCAAGACCAACCTGGCCAACACAGTGAACTCCTGTTTCTATTAAAAACATAAAAATTAGCTGGGCATGGTGGTGGGCACTTGTAATCCCAGCTACTCGGGAGGCTAAGGGAGGCAAATTGCTTGAATCTGGGAGGCAGAGGTTGCAGTGAGCCAAGATTAGCACTGCAGTCTGGGCAGCAGAGCTAGACTCTGTCTCTAAAAAAAATTGTTTTAAAATAATTATTTGATTTTCAGAAGTTTCACTGTGGTGTATCTAGATAAGGATTTCCTTTTTATTTATCTGCTTCAGGGGTTTTAGGGCTTCTTGGATCTGTGGTTTGATGTTTTTCTTTAGTTTTGGAGAATTTTCAGCCTTCGTCTCTTCTTCAAATATTTCTTCTGTTCCATTTTTCCCTTTCCACTTATCTGAAACCGAAATTACATGTAGATTAGATCATTTCATTGTATCATTTATACCTCTTATCTTCTCTTTGGCATTTTTTGATAAATCTTTTTTCTTCTCTCTGTTTCATTCTAAATACTTCCTTTTGACCTATCTTCCAGTTCACTAATTCTCTTTTCAGCTATATTTTATCTGTTCTTAAATTTATCCATTAAGATCATTTTTCAGATTTGCTATTACATTTTTATACCATTAATTCTTGACTAAAATTCTTAATGCTGCAGGACTCTTCTTATTGTCTGTTTTTTTTTTTTTACTGATTCTCATATTGCCTTTTCATGGACTAGACACTGTAGTTTTTAAATTATTTGTAGAAATAATCTGAGACCTATGATAAATTTTTCTTTTATTTCTTTTTTGTTTTGTTTTTTGAGATGGGAGTTTTGCTTTTGTTACCCAGGCTGAAGTGCAGTGGTGCAATCTCAGCTCACTGCAACCTCTGCCTCCCGAGTTCAAGCAATTCTCTTCCCTTAGCCTCCTGAGTAGCTGGGATTAGAGGCACCTGCCATCACACCCAGCTAATTTTTGTACTTTTAGTAGAGATGGGATTTCACCATGTTGGCCAGGCTGGTCTTGAACTTCTGACCTCAGGTGATCCACCCACCTTGGCCTCTCAAAGTGCTGGGATTACAGGTATGAGCCACCACGCCCAGCTGATATATTTTTCAAGAGATGATTTAAATTTGTTTCTAACTTCGCCTAGGAGTCTTCAGTCATTTTAATTCAGTTTCAGGGATTGATTTGTTTTTATGCAGAGCTGTAGTCCCTATAGGGGTGGTCAACTTCAGTTTACTACCTAATATGCCTATTATGTGTGGAGTACTTTGCTAGGTGCTGGGTAGGTCTTGTAAGGAGAGCAGAACTCTCTTTGGTCTGTGTGGAGCACAGAGCTTGATTATAATTGACAGGTAAGTATACACACACACACACATATGCACACACGGACAAGTGCAAACACACACGCGTGCACATACACATACATGCCCACTCTCTCTCTCTCTCCAGGCTGGCCACAGTGGCTCACACCTGTAATCTCAGCACTTTGTAATCTTTTTGTAATTCCAACCCTCTTTTTACTTTTTACATTTTGTAATCCCAACCCTCATTTTTCTCTCATTTCCTTTCAGAAAAATTAGTGATTTCGGTACCAGTGAATCTAGGCTCCAGGTTTAGGTCTGTAGTTTTGGACTAGTTACCTAATTCTTCATTCAAAACAAAACAGAAGGAAGGAAGGAAAAGAGGGCAAACATGGATTTGGGATGGGAAGTAAGGAAAAGAGCACATGAGGAGACAGACTGTCAAGTTTCTTCGTATTCCTTTTTAAATATAGAAGAAAAGATGGGATAAGAATATTCCATCTTATTTCTCTGTTTAAAAGAAAGAGCGAATGAATCAAAATGAAGAAAAGCCATTTTATCTGCCTTCTGGATGAAGAGTTTTACTGATGAACCTGAAATGTTTTGGTTAACATGAGAAAGGGAGGTGACAAGATGCCTGAGATGTGAGCTCCATGAGGACAGGAGCTGCTTTCTCTCTCTAGCCTGGCACAAGACAAGGAACTTAGTTGAATGAATGAACAAATAAGTGGTTCTCTGCTTTGAGGAACTTGGACTGTCATTACCTTACAAATCAGGTTTACCATTTATTTGCTTTATTTAAGTTCCAGAAACAGATTAAGAAACTATTTCCTCTCAGAATATTTCTAGCCTAAACTTCTGGTCTGATCTATAGATTGTAGAGCTTAAATTTCCCCAAATCCCAACAGTCAAAGATTGTTACACCAAGATAAATAGCATATTTCTCAGAGCCTTGTATTTTCTGTCTTTGGCCACAGACCCTAGGACTTAGGCTGATATTTGAGAAGGAAAGATTGAAACTTAGTAGAATTATACTTCCTGTATCTTAATTTTCAACTCTTATATAAGGTTTGCTTTTTCTAGAGAGAGACTAATCTGGAATGAGAATGAATTCTCATCAGTAAGGGCAAAGCTTTAAGTGGGTCATCTGACTTTGCTTTTGTGCTCTACATTCACCCTGGTTATGAAAGGGCCTTTCATGAGTTTTCTAGGCTTTCATCACTGCCAGCCTGCCCACAGGCATTGTGAAAGTATTAAACTTCCTACCCTCCCCCATGCTTGTCTCATGGACTCTTTCGTAGAGTGCACACTGGACTGTGTTTAGCTCAGCAGGAACTCTTTGCAAACACTGAATACATGAGCAATCCTCCTGGAAAGATAAGAGATTTCAGTACTGATTAGTGTCATAGCCACAGAAGTTAGTGTTTGCCAGTGTCTGATAACTATGGTGATTTGCAGCCTAATTTTTGTGAAATTATTAGGCAAAAGTTTAAGAAGTGTTCATGTTAAAATTATTTATATATAAAATTTGTCTATAGATAATTTCTGTCAATAGGAGGTTGATGAATACTTCACATAACCTAGATGCAATTAACTGGTTTTTGTTTCTTTTTTTCTAGGACACATGTTCAAAGAGCATAATTAACTTTTTAAAAGACGCTAGTAAGTACTGAAATCGTTTTTTAAGTTTCTTCCTTAGGACTAGAGGAGGAAAGGAAACATGGAATTTTGAAGGGCTATTTAGCAAGCTGCTTATGGCATAATCTGGTGTGGCGGGACATAGTAAAGGATTTGCATTTTACTGAGATTCATACATCTCAAGGGAACTGTATATAAAGTTAGTCATATTTATTGATTTTTCAAGGACTATAGACCATCAACTACAATAGGCTTCAAAAAATTGTGGTGAAATTAGCTTTTTGGGGCCTTCCAATTTGCCTATTATGTTGTTTCCCCTATAAAATATAAAACTTCTGGGGTTTTAGCCACTTAAATTTTTTTTTTCCAGGAGCATGTGCACTTTATTGAACACAGTTGTAGAAAAGTGTGTGAGGGTAAAAGGCTGATACAGGATCGGCTGAGGGCAGGGCGAGGAATGGAAGCTGGAGTACGTGGGAGACAGGTCACGGGCAGAACCCCTGGCCAGGATGATTCCTCTGATCTACTGATAGGCTTGCAGAATCAGTATTGGGATGATGATCAGCAGAATGGTCGTGATGATGCCCAAAATCAGGGCCCAGATGTTCAGGCACTTGGCGGTGGAGGCGTAGGCCTGGGCCCCGGTCAGGTCGCCAACCATCTTCCTGTCCCTAGACTTCAGGGAGTAGGCGAACGCTATGAAACCCAGGCAGCGGGAGTTCAGGAAGAGGGTGTTGAACAGGGACCAGACGACGTGGTCGGGCACGGAGGTCTCGCTTCGGATGTGGATCACGGTGGATGTCGCAGGGTTGTGGGGCGCCCCCAGCGCAGCCACCTCATGTTCCTCCTTCAGCATCTCATAGTTCGGGGGACGGCTGGTGCTGCCGGGAGTGAAGAAGGTTTGGACCGTGTGGTTCATGGTGTCCAGGGAAGACGGGCTGTGGTCGGGTAGCTGGGATGCTTCTCCCACTTAAATTTTTTACTTTCTCTAATCATCTCTAGTATCTATGCCTTCCTTTCCTGTCAGTGCTAGACTCTGTGGTTCAGCAGTTCATCCATTCTCTTCCCAGTACTCAACCTCAATGCTTATAGTTTCATTACATTCCTCTAGCAAAACCTTAATTCTCTATGTTCTCCATACCATTAGTGCTTAGAGCATTATTTCAGAAAATAATCCTGGAAAAATGGGTCTTAACTCACCTGGGCCCTCAGGGTTGCTGGGCTGCCTGTGTCAGCACTTCCTGCCCTTTCCTATAGAAGCACTATTAGTATAGTCTTTTTTTTTTTTTTTTTTTTTTTTTTTTAATTTAGAGAGAGAGAAGCAGGAGGAGAGAGAAAGAAACAGCTAACTCTCACACTGAGTGAGAGAATCCAGAAAGTGGAGTCCAGGAGAGGAAAGCAGCTTCTACACTGAGTGGAAAGGAATAGAGAGAGATGGAATTTAGGAGGGGAAGACAGGCTTCCACAAGAGAGTGTGGAAGGGGACCCCAGAGGGGAAATCCAGGAAAGAGAAAGATGGCTTCCATGAGAGTGTTCATGGAAGGGGACCCAAACATGAAGTCCCAGTATTAGTCTTAATACTTGAAAAAGCATATCCCACTATCTCCCCCTCTCTCTTAGCCTTTAATCTTGCTGCATACTTCATGGGGAAATCTTTAAGATGTCAGATTTCAGTTCCCTCACTTTTCTATTATTTCTCCTACTTCTGCCTTTCTTATATACCTTTTCTTCCTTTCTATCTGATTCCTTATCAGCATTTACACGGGACTACTTCTTGCTTAATCTAACAGACCCTTTCTTGAGTGCAAATCAGTGGCTAGTTTTGCTAGGATATAAAAATTCTATATCTAGGCATCTTGACAAAGTCACCCTGTTATTTCTAATAACTTACCTGTAGATTCTTATAGGTTTTCTTTTCTTTTCTTTTTTTTTGAGACAGTCTTGCTTTGTTGCCATGCCCAGCCTTGATTCTTGTAGGTTTTCTATGTAAACAGTCAGATGTTCTGCAAGTATTTGTATACTTTCTAATTTTTATAATTCTAATTTCTTTTTCTTTTAAAAAATTTTTGGTAGAGACAAGGTTTTGCTATGTCACCCAGGCTGGTCTCGAACTCCTCGGCTCAAGCAGTCCTCCCATCTCAGCCTCCCAAAGTGCTAGGAATACAGGCATGAGTCACTGTGCCTGGCCAAATTTATTTTCTTGTTGCAAAGGTAAAGATTTCTCATACGATATTGAGTAGAAGTGATAGAAGATTACTTTATTCCTGATTTTCAAAGGAATGCATTCCATTTCTGTCTGTTGAAAATAATTACATAGTGTTGTTGTTTTTTTAAAATAATAACTTTTATCAGGTTAAGGAAGGTTTCTTCTATTTCTATTTAAGATGTTTTTTTAATTGTGAATTATATGTTTTTTGTCTAGTGTATTTTCTACATGAATTGAAATGGTTGTATGACCTTTCTTCTTC